GTAAAGTGTCCTCGCTCGCATTTCCTCTCTCTTCTCACCGTCCATTTCGTTTATATATCTAGGTGATCGTGTCGACTCGACTCGATCAGAAAGATCGAGCGCGAATTTAATAAGAATTTACCCTTTCGACGGCCGTTTCGAAGATGCGTAAATTCGATTCGAAGAATATCGCGCGACGAGAAGGTGGATGGATGGAAACTAAGTTTATCCTAGGCGATGGCCACCTGCCAAAAAGGAAGGAATTAATCATTAAGTAAGAATTCTGTTTTCTGTTACAACAAGACTTCCACGTTGTTTAGGCAAACGGGGGCGAAGCAGAATCTAAATTCATCCTCCGTCTAGGAAACGTTCATTGTTAAATCATCTTTATGATTATCGTCTTGCAAGATCGTTTAATGCGATTCTCCAAGTTGGAGATTTTTATCGAGAGATATATCGTTAATTAAAACTTATCGGTCTGAGAATAGATGCGCACGATCTAATGTGAAAGAATTTTAAAGAATGAACTTTTCCCGGTAGATCCTAGATACGATTACGACAATATCGGCAACGATTTATTATTAAGAAAGGTGGAATTCAAGCCGACATCTGGTCCATTGGAGAGATGGGCAAAGTAAACAGGTTCAAAGAACCGAATCCTTTAACCTAATTTACAGATTAGGAGCGCGCCGCCACAATTCACGTCAAGCCCGACCTTTCTAATCTCTTCTCTCTCTCTCTCTCTCTCTCTCTCTCTCTCTCTCTCTCTCTCTNNATTTTCACACGGATTCCGCTGACCGATCCGATCACGATCACGATCCCGAGCACGGGTTATCTTTCGTCCCGCTTCGTTTCTCCCGGCCTCTCTCGGTCTCCGCTTGTTTTTTCCCCTCTTTCCTCGTTCCCGTTCTTCTTTTTGGGCCCCCGTCGTCGACGTGCTTTGCCACGCATCGTATTTTCACGCACGCACGCGGAGGCTGCATTTATTAAAAGCGATACATTATGATTCAAAGATCATATCTTCGATTCGTCTAGACGGTGGAGAGGGAGACACCCTATAAAGTCGTACGTGGCTGCCCCTGAAACAAGCAGCCGAATACAAGGTGCCTCCTCGATCATTTCTTCGCGCCTCCTCCGCGCCTCCGTTTTTCGTTTCCTTCTTTTGCCCCGCGACCCACCTTCATCCCACGAGGGGCTCGCGCTCCTCTTGAATCCCGTGAAAATTTCCTCCCGGATCATATAGGAGTATACCTTTCCATCGCGTGAAAATTCCTTCTCCTTCCTCGACGACGAGACGTCGAATTCGCTCGCTCGCTGCTAGCCGATCCTGCAACAAATTTCGATTCCGATAAGTATATGCGTATAACTATCGCATATAAAGATCCAGAAAATTAGCGTCTCCTCGCTTTGTGCGCCTCGATACGATTGGGGAAAACGAGTGGGGGCGAGTTGAAAAATTGGCGAGAGAGGAAAATCGGACGACGATCGAAAAAAGAAAAGAAAAAAGGAAAGAAGGAAAGAAGGAAGGAAGGAAGGAAGGAAGGAAAAGAAAGTGGAAGAAGAAGCGGGTGCGATAAAGCGTCACGGAGAGAGAGAAAAGGCGGTCGTCCGCGGGATTTCGGCGAGCGAGGGAAAGGGATTACCACACGCGCGCGGCGGGTGGAGCGAGAGGAACAGACTTACCGAGAGAAAGAGAAAGGAGACGAAGGAGAAGAAGAAAAAAAAACGAATGATCGTAGTAACACCGGCGCGTCTCCTCTCGCGGCTTCGTGCTTGTCTCGGAATTAGTGAGTAGACAGAATTATGTCCGTGAGCAGGCCAGCTCGGCTCAGTTGAGACTTACTGCTCAGCCCGTGCACACGCATGCCACGAATCTTTCCTACTTACATATATACCGCGGCTTCCTGATGCGATTAGACTAGTCCGCGATCACCCGCCACTCCGTATCACGGACCAGTTTGTTTAACACTTCTTCGTAACGCGGACACACCGCAACGTCTTTCCGTCTTCACGTTCGCCTCGTCGTTCTCTGGGTCACTGGTTTCGTTGCAACACGCGGTTTCGCAGACAACATTTCTCATCTTAATTCCGATTCCTCTCCTCTTCGAGGGTTGTAAAATCCCTCGTAAATATGGAGGCATCCATTGAGCGATAACCGGTGGCCGCATTTGTCGCATGAACAAAAGTGGTGCCAGTTTATCTTTTCCACGATAGAATTTTGACAGAAAAGGAGACCGGATAAAGTGAGACTTTTCCCCCCTCTCCCGCCCCCTCCCCCCGTCTTTCACGAAAAAATTTCCTAATTCGTCGTCGTCATGGAATTATTCGAGTTCTTCGTGCTGCTGTTGGTCGTCTCGACTATGAACAGTGTATCGTGCCACCATCATCATCGCGGTATCCACGTGGACGATAAGAAAAAGGGGGACCCGATGGACCACGCGAAAAGGTACGCGGCCAGTGACAATAAGAACGTGGTACTGTCCGAGGGCGAGAAGCAGAGCAGGGGCTTGAAGGGCGAGGAAATTAAACGCACGGTCCCTTTTAGCGAGAGGAGGCTGGAGAAGATGCTGGAGAAAGCTATCTTAAAAATAATCACCGGTGATCTTAGCACGGGTGACATGTTGCTATTGAAAAGTCTGAATTATAGTTTGGAGGAAGTTCTTGCGATTCGCGAGAGAGAATTGAGCAAGAAGAAGGATGAAGAATTGAGGAAGAAGGAGAGCGTGAAATCTTGGACGAAAGTATTGTACGGGGGAGATGGAGAAAGAAAGGTTAAAAATTGGAATAAAAAATCCACGGATCGTTCCTTTTCGAAAAATCCTGATTTCGAAACCAATAAACGAGAAGGTAAGAAGAACCGACATGTGGATAGATCACCTTCCTACAAGGATTTTGACTTCGAGGCGTATAATCGACAGGCGATCCTTGATTACGAGAATCTGCCGTCCAACATGGAATTTCAACAATCTTGGTCAGAACCTACCGCTGTTGATTACGAAGAGGTTACCAAAGCCTCCAAAGAGGAAGATATCGCGAATAATCTTCATCGAGATTTCGACAGGGTGATGGAGCCTCACGTAGTCTTCAAGATTCGATACGATGATTCCGAATTCGATTCCAGCTCCAGTTCGGACGAAACAAATAAAAATCGTTCTAGGACATCCAAACATCACGATCCTTCGACAACGACGAGACACGCGACTTTAAAAAATGCCGGTAATTCCTTTCATGTATCGACACCGCCATCAATGTCTTCAACTACTATTTCTACTCTACCTCTGGTTTATCAATTGAGTAGCATCAATGTTAGGAGTAACTATCTAAATAATGATTATTCTACTACAGCCGCGTCTTCGACATCAAGTAGTACCAATACTACCACAGAAAGTATCGTACCAGATGAAATTTTAAACGACAAAAATGAAACGAATATTCGCATTATCAATTCCACAGATAAAGCATCCGTCTTAAAAAATGAAGAGAAAACTAATGAAAATAAAAAGATCAGCGAGTACGAAGGGCTCGAATGGGTCGAAGATGACGTTTACAGAGTACTCCCCGAGTTCGTGGATTCCCTTAGTTTCGAGAACACGGAGGAGAACGAAACGTCCGACTACGAAGACTCTAGTCACGATTCCCGACTAAATTGGAACACAGAGGAGAACGAAAACAGCACGTTGGGGTATTTGAACGACACTCCTGATTCTGTCAAGCTCTTCGTATCTAACAATAACATTTCTGCCGGCAATCTTCCTTTGGCGAATCTATCGTCATATCTACAAGTGGCTATTGCTCATCGACGAGGGTAAGTAAGATAAGATCAAATCATCTTTCAAAATTCTACGTTTTTCATCTGCTTCGATTCGAATGTTCATTTTCACAATTCAAGATAAATTTCTCTTTAATCGGAATTTTAGCTTGTAGATTCGAGTCATGGGTAAAAAAAAAAAAAAAAAAAAATGAAAATTTCAAAACGGATGACTCGATTTTTTTCTCATTCATTAAAATGTCACATTAAATGTCAATCATCGTGTGTCTTTCTTGCTTTGCAAAACGCGGAATCTAGTATCTATACAATGTGCTTTTTGTGTCTTTTAGAGGAAACCTAACCTCAAGCTTCGACAGGTAAGCTTCACCCACAGATGGTACTATGATCATTTTTCGGGTAAGGGACTCGGTGTGCCGAATAAGATAGACAGATAAATTCTGTCGAATTTTTTTCTTTTTTGTTTTGCTCTTCCGATCGAACATTTCTATTAGCTTAGCTTGCATAATTTAAAAATACATTCTCTCATCACGATTATCTCATTGCTCGCATTGCACGATTTATTGCGATAATAACGGAAAATCTATGCTTTATGGAAATGTATTATATGTGTCTGCATGAAAAGATAACGTTCGTTTTCCTTTTTTCTCCTTTCCTCAAACGAGTTGTCGTTGAACTCCTTTTTAATTATTGCAACGAAGAAAAAAAGCAAATGATTTTCCAACGACATAACCCAGGCCTCTGCTTGCGAATACTGAACGACAAAGACGTTCTTGACGAATCATTGCCCCCGCTACGTAAAAATATCTCAATGGCCCGTAAAAATACCATGACGAAACGAAGAATCACGGAGCGCCACTGAATTTCTCGCCTCGGGTTGATCAGCGACCGCTTCTTCAGCTATTTCTCCTTACTTTTCCTCTGCCGTTTCTTTTTCTAAACAGAAAAAATGTAGAATATCAATTACGAATCGTTACTGAACAAGGTCAACGCAAGAAAATTTAGAATCGCAGGAATGATTTAATATAAAAATCAGTGATGCACGCAAAAATTTTTCACTAAAAAAATGATTTATCGGACAAATATGGTGCTCATTATCTTTTAAAAAGACAGATACCGGGATAGAGACTAGAGCGAAAATATACAATGGAAATTCCGTTGTGGTCCCTAACTATGTTTTTAAATCACCCTCCTTCTCCACCACCACCTTGGCCTCTGGTGCGAAGGCGTTTCTTTTATTTTATTAAGTCTAGACGCGTAAATGCATTCGTGTCGGCACTGGCGTAGCCTGCTGAGAGTGAGGACTCCGGTGTGCCGGTCGTTCCGCTTCTTCCTCAAGTCTCTACAGGGTGATCTAGATAATCCATCAAGAATTAGAATTTTCTTAAATGTTTGATTTCAAAATTTAATCTTAATAAAAATCATAAAAGAAATAATATAGATACTTCATTTATTCATTTATTACTCAAGAATAATGATAGTGAATGAAAAATTAAAAATATAAATGTGATTAAAAGAAAAAAAAATGATATAAAATTATGTGGTGTACTAGATAAATTAATTTATTTTTTATAAAATCTATGATGAAGCAAATATCGTTAGATATCAAAGAAACAACGATTTTGAGTTGAGCACCCTCGTAATCACCGGGTGTCTAGTCAGACTGCAGTTAGGACTGCTCTCTTACGAGGTTATGTAACACATTTTAATTTAATGCGCTGACCTTGTCTATGCGTCTCTCTTCCTATGCCGACAAAGATGATGCGAGACGCGCAACGAAGAGCGAGGAGGAAGTTTTCGTCAGTGGCTCCCCACTTCACCGCCAGACGATGCAACGTGCATTTTTTGACAGTCGCCAATCAGGTCGTCGTTCACCGTTTTGCGGTACACAAAACGTTCTCCCTTGCCTTTTGACACCTATCACCAACGATTCTTCTCTAATCGATTTTTAATCCTTAACAGCTTCTCAAATTTTCTCTCCGATAATCCTTTACTGAAATTGTTATAATATTAAAATTTTTTTCTAAAAATCTTTTCTTTTTTTAAGCAAAAAATTTATTCTTCACGGAAGAAGAATAAAAGATTTTTTAAAAAATCGAAGAAATCTTATCTGTTGATGTTACTTCACGTTAGTCCGAAGGCTGTTACAAAACCGGCCAATTTTCTTAATACGGTACTCGGGAAGGATCACTGGATTCATTCTCATGATGCAACGGCCTCCAGACACCCGAGTCCTTCCCTTTCCCAGACGGCAGACAGACGTGACACGTACGCAACGAGACGCTGTAGAATGCGTGACTTGGACGTGGCTAGATTAAGGAGCATGTCTAGAATCGAATACAAGATTTCGTGGCGAGATTTCGTCCGAGTGCTCTCCTCCGTATATCTCTTCCGCTTCTCCAAAGGGATTCCTGGATGGCAAAGAGAATGGGACAAATTAGATGAAGATTAATAAAAAAAAAAATTTCTTTTACGATTCTTCTCCAACTGTGCATTCTGTTCCTGACCAACTGATTGTTTAGGAAAACCATTTCTGATTATTTGTCGAGCAACAACGAGGTCGTTGACGCCCGATTGGCTGCGCTCAAAGGTCCAAGTGGGCGTCCAATCCTTGCCAGTGACGCAGAGAAAAGACGCTCCTCCTTTTTTTCCTGCCGGTTAACGACTTAGTCTTCGTTATGCAATCCCGTAATCTCACCTGATCATTGGCGCGAGTTTTACATATGTATATTTAAAAGTCTCTTCTGGTATAAAATCTAGATTAACGCTAGCTTATTCAAGATCTATGATTAATACAATTTATTCAATTTGTGCTGATTAAACTTTTTTTATGAAGTATCGAAAAGTAAAGAAATGTTTATTTTAATAGTAGAAATTAAAATTTGAAACTCAAGACGAATACATTAATAGTTCCCTGCTAGACCAGACAAATGAGATACTAGTGCTTACGGTGGTTGTCTAGTCAATGTCTAGAACGTATAATAAATATCTCTGACCCACACTATAGGCCCTGTAGGTCACTGACCACCGTCCATTAGCCTGTCTTACTGCCCGGAAAGCTTGCACGTATCTCCAAGTGAAAATTTTTACGTCGTCATTCAGGCACGCAGAATTCTTCGGTTACTTTTAATTCTTCTATTTGAATTTACTCTCTAATTATAATATTTTCAATTTTTACTTACTAATAGATTAAAATCATATCTTTCCTTTTGTCTGTTTCGTGTTAAAAGTTTGTCGATTATCTTTTATAACTATTAAGTTTGTAAAAATTTCTTTATATGTGTAGCCAAGGTGAAAAAGCCATTGAGGATATCAAAACACGAGTTTTAGCACTGACGGGAAGGTTCAACCTCAGCACTGATGCTAATCAAGTCCAACGAGAAAGATTGACAATGTTTTCTCCAACTTGTAAGTTTCTTAATGATAATTAGTTATTCAATTATTAAAATATATTTATATAAAAATATGCGAGTAATGTTTAAAATCCAATTCTTTTAATCAGGTCAAATTCCACGTAACACAGATCAAGATGCTTGGACGGATTCATTCTCTATGAATATGCATTTTCAATTGAACTTGACTTCCAGTGATCATGTGATAGCTGCTAAATTACGGATATTTAAATTACCGCAAGAAAATGTAACATTCTCTTCAGAAAGTACATTTGACGATGAAGAAGAAGATGAAAAAAAAATTAGAATATCGGTCTATTATTACACGAAAACTTTGAAGAGACATCGATGTAAGTCTTTGGTCGAGTTAATTATTTTCAGCTAACTTTTTATAAGAAATAAATTATGGAATCAATTTTTTATCAACAGCGAAGAAACGTTTGATGGATTCGGTAGTGACACCCCTCACGTTTAAAGGTACTCATCTAGCGTTAGATGTTAGACAAGGTCTCCGATTCTGGAGATTGAATCCACGAAACTCTCATGGAAGCGGAAGTAATCACGGCTTGGTAATCCAAGTTGAGGATCAAGATGGCAGGCCATTGAAACCGGCTCTATATATTCAACAACCGTCTTGCGTGGATCAGGATTCAGATCAGAAGGCATGTGAGTGTGTGCTCTAACAATACTAACTCCGATGTGATTTCGATTGCCTGCTTGCATACTGCGTGATACTTAACACCGTGTGTCATAACTTGGAATGATTTATATAATGTAGATGTAGATGATATAAAAATTGCTATTATTTGCGATTGTTGTTTACAATATTTATTTTAGTGGCGATGCTATGTGATTTTCGTCTTGATTTGGCGGTAACACAAAGCTTCGTCATACTGAGACTAGATTTTTTTTCAAAAATGGCTACTTCTTTGTGATATAAAAGTGAAAAATTTCTTAAGAGTAGTTTACTACATATTCTGAATACCACTTTTTAAGATTTTGATTTAGTCTTAGAATGACGATAAAAAGATTACAAGTATTTTGTTAATGAAATTATTTTTTATAGAACTTAAATACTTACAATAGTCTTTTCTTTTCTACAGACCAGCGAGTACCTGCACTCTTCGTACGAGCCTGTACTCGTTACGTTCGTATCGTAAATGGCAAAACGGAGACATACGTCAATTGCAGGCATTAAAATGGAAGAAAAACTTTTAGATGTTATAAGAAAGTAGTAAATTATTCATATTGTACTTTATGTTTTAAAAAATGATAACTTTTTTATGAAGAACAGGGAATACCGTCCTTTAACTATCACTTGATTCAAACATGCACTAACAGAAACATAGGATGCATTTTTATGAAAAAAGTAACTATAATCAATACAAAATATGTCTAAATCGAACAAAGATACTTTTATGAATTCGTTAAAAAAATGATTTTTTTATTACTATTTTTGAATAATTAATTAGATTGAACTCATTAACGAATTCAACAAAATTTTATAAACTTTTTATATAAAATCATGTTGACGATATTCTAATAATTTTTACTATTCTATGCGCACAAAAATAGATCACATGAAAACAATAGACGAATGCCCCCACTACTTGAAAATTAATTTAAGATGGAGTAAAAAACGCGCGAAAATTATAATAATTGTAAATGTTTAAAAAGTACGTACAATCCCAGCAAAAGTCCTTTTATAGACTATTCTTAACTAAAAGAAAAAATGTTAACTTAAAAATGTAGCACCGTATTATTTAAATGGTAAGTTATTTTATTGTTTTGTATTGTTTTCTGTAATTGCGTTCCGAAACTGGCTTCCATGTCAATATGTGTCTTTTTTCGGATGCCAATAGATTAAATTTTTAGTATGATTTACTATGATGTACATACCAGTGAAATCGAATCAATAGATTGATAATAATTAGATTATTCGTTAGATTAATAAAAATATTTTTGGCTTGTATGCAGATGTGTATGCAATGTAATGCACATGCATACAGTCATGCTCACGACTGATGCAACCAAATGTAAGAACTTAGAGATAGATATTTATATTTTATGTTAATTAAATGTAAAAGCTTATAGAGTTTTTTTTATTATATCTTGAATGAGACCATAAGTAAAATATTAAATTTTGTGTGTAGTACAAAAACAAAGTACTTCAGCTATTTTATTGGTAAATTCTAATGGTTCATTCAAAAGATTATGCTACTTATTATAATAATATTATATTAATATTATAATATGTTGTTGTTTGATGAAATAAACAACATATTCTTACAAATTTTACATAATTTCTGTATATAATGTATATTTAATTACTTGGTTGTGCAAAAATAAATGATTTGATGTCAATACTTATAATGCCTTTGTATTAAATGCATTCTAAGTTTGACCCTTACATTTTATAATGAAGTTTATATTATTTTGTATATTTTTTATATTCTCTGTTAAATACGAGCAAACTATTTTGTACATATATAATTTTGTTCAGAGATCATATACAGATAAAATAATATCAAATGTAACATTTAAACTATTACATCTTATTAATATATCACTTATATATATTCGAAATAATTTTATAAATTTTTTCATGATCTCTTTCTTTCTATATATATATGTATAT